CAAATACTAATGCATGAAAATCCTAACCTCAAAAAAATCACCCGTTATTTAAAGCAGAGATGGGCACCGCCTTGCCCGCGGGCAAAGCTCTTTTAAGCTTTCTATATATTTCATGCAGACGTTTGCTGAGTAAAATTTCTATCTTCCCGTCGCTGATTTACAGTGCACGCATGTACTGCCTACCAGGGATGGAATTTCAAAATTTCCAAATGTGCCTAATGGTCTTTAAAAATAGTGCCGAAAAGTAGATGAAAGTGCCACAAAATTAAATTTCTTTTAAGGCCTTTTAAGAATAATATATTTTAGAAGTAATATTTTTAAAATACAGTGAAGTAATATAATAATTATTAATTAACTAAATTATTACCCTACATCACTTTTATGAAAGATTCCTTAGCCATACTATATACATAGCTTCATAGTAAAATGACACGGTATTATACAGCAATATAGCAATTCTGACATTTTTACAGATAGATTTTTTTAAATCGATGAAAATTTTTGCCACCGTCAGCAAAAAAAAAATTATCAAAAATCAACGGGATTTTGCAGAAACTTGTACTTTTATTTAATAGACTATAAAACTGCAAACTTAGAATCTTTCTAAAAATTCTGAATTAAAAGTTTGTTGTCGCAAAAACTTACTTTTCGTGCTGCGTATTCACAATAGCTCTGATCGAATACTTTTCATGAAAAATCCTGTAAAACTGTCAAACAGCAAATATACTCTCTGAAGTGAGAGTAAAAAGTGAGTAACAACAAAAAGTACGGGAACAAAAAAACCATTTTTCCTGTAAAAACGTCAACCAGTGATTGCTTGACACTTCATGATTTTACCAGAAGAAAACGTTCGGGTAAAATCTTGCAACTTCATTCTCTACACAACTCTCCAAAAGTCGCCCTCATTTACAAGATTTTGGAGTACGGGAACATTTTTCCTGCAAGTTCGTGTAAAATCCTGGAAGTTCATGGAGTACTGGATCAGAGCTAATATGAAGAATTCATCGTTTTGTCAATATTTCTCACGACCGTTATTTTAAACATTTTAATGCCTTTAATGTTCAATTTTGTAATCTATAATGTAGTATGTGAGTTTTTGTTATATATTGACATTTTATGCTAAATTTCTATATTTTAGGATTGTGCCTACTTTTCCATCACTGCTGCATACATTTTCTATATATTTGAAGTAACAATTAGACCGCTTTCAGACACGTCAAGTCTTGATCTCAAGTCTGTTCGTTCGTAGGCGGAGCAGGTGAGCCGAATGTACTCTTCCCCTCTCTTCTCACCTCCTTCACCTCCGAGCCGAGCAGACTTGAAAGCAAGACTTGACTTGTGTGAAAGGGGTCTTAACAGATTTGAGCTGCCGGTTCCCAATACGGGCTAAATTGATTTCTTTTCGAATGCATTACTCTAATCGATCTAAATTATTCTATAAACTTTGAGTCTTCGTGCTGAATTGCTGAGTGCAAAGTCCATAACAATCATGCAAAACGAATTTAGGTATGTCTGCATTGGTTGAACGAAATACATGATCTTACATTCACATAAATATTAGGGCTGTTCATGATCTTGTGCATAGGCACTTGCATTGGCATATTCGTTGCATTTGTTAATTCACAACAATAAAATACATTCGTTATTGTGAATGTTTATGATTGTTTCAAAATTACTAAGCTTCTAGTGAATAGGGTTTTTGCTAATTTTTTTGGAAAAATGTCAATAGACGGTTTTTAAAAGTTTAAAACAAAAATGGAAGTACGAAAACCAAAACATATTTGATGTAAAAAAGCCAAAGGCTGTGTCACACGATTGGGCATGTGCCCGAAATTTGCTGCAAATGGTATCCCAATCGTGGGAAGGCACAAATATGCTTCTTTATCCCAATTACGAAAAACATTTGGTTCAAATTTTTCCATACAAGTTCGCTGTATTGTACCAATCGTGTGACTAGAAAAAACTTTTCGTCCCAATATTTTTTTTATTTTGTACCAATAGCCCAATATAAAAAATGTACAAATCTGTACAAATATGCCAATCGTGTGACACTGCCTTAAGAAATTAATTTTTTGAAAGAAAATATGCAAGGATTCTATACCAATTCCACGAAAAATCGTTTTTTTTTTGGGATTTCGAAATAAAATAAAAAAAGGTACACATTTTTCGATATATAACAATCCTGCGCATCATCGATGTGTAAAGTCAGCAATGCTAGCCTCTGAACTATGCACACCCGGTAAACTAGCATTGCTGACTATGCATCGATCGATGATGTGGGTTCGATTCCGGCTTAAGTCTAAAAAAAGAAGTCTGATGAGATGTGGTGATCTCCGAAATAGCAGCTATAACTTCTACTCCTTGGACGTTTTTGCTTTATCCATTTTTCCTAACAAACAAATCGTGGTATAAAGCTGAATGTCTTTTTTTTCGCAAAAAATTTTCTCATTCATTCCAATTTCATATTGGAATTGATCAATAGTATAGTAGGATGATTTTTTTTCACAACATTTCATAATAAAATATATAATAGGGTAAATCATCTAAACGCGTAAGTGCCTCGTTACCACGTCAACCTCGTAAGCTTACTTAATTTTTTATGGAAAACCGGTTTATTTAAATACGAGTTTTACACGATTACGAGGCATTTACGCGTTTAGATGAATACCCCTAAAATTTTCTTTTTGAAAAGTTGTTTAATTGGGTTTTAAAAGTAAATAAAAATTTGAATTTTAGAGAAAATATAGTTTTTGGCTCTAAAAAAATGCGAGTTAATTTTTTTTAATTTGATGAAAGGTAGAGAATTTAATTCCCTACATACAAAACAACACCCAATTTTCTTTTTTATTTGTCATATTTAATCGTTTATAAAAACAAAATTGGCGGAAAAAATAATTTCATTGAAAATTATAATTTTTGCGTGCGCTTACTCAAAAATGAAGATAGAGGGCTAAAATTCTGTCATAATAATACATACATATGTACATACATACATAGGACAACTCAGACATCATTATTAGTTCATGGAAAATTTTATACGATCAGTTGAGTATTGATGACAGTTCCGTCTTTAAGCCACAATCAGCATATCACAATTTATTCCTAAACTTGTAAACTCTTTGATTATCAAAAATTGTCTAATGAGTTTGACCTAAAGCTACGACGAGTTTAGCTATTCTCTGATAAGAATCAAAAATTTAAAAAGTGTTAATTTAATTTTTTGTATTCATAACAACACTTTAACCTTGGGAAATCAAATTTGTAATAAACTTTTAAATTTTACTATAGTGATTATAGCTGGTAAAAATTAGTATAGACTCTTTTTATTTCCTACTCGCAAATACATATGTATGTATATCGCTTGTTAACAATACTCGCCGAATTTTCAGCCAGACTAAGGTAAATAAATTAATTGAGGGATTCACAACGGTATCGTAAGTGTCATATTGTTGTATGTCGTAAACTTTAAAAGCTTAAATAAATGTTTAGAGAACTTAGAACCACAACCAACTATTTTTTAACACTGCGGAAATGCATAATATGACTTTGGTGGTACTTTGGGAACCCAGTTAATACATTTTTAGGCGTTTAAAGTTGTGAATACCCCAAATGTTCAAAAATACACACATTCACACATATCAGCTAATGAAGCGCTCCAATTTATAACAACTGCACTTCGTTTAAAACAGTTAAATTAAATTGGATGCGCCAGCTAAAATCTTTTAAATAACCAGTATGTACTTTGAGCGGCTCGAGTGCAAGCTTATTAGCAGAAGATATGTGTGGATACCCGTTTTAATGACGGGAATATATTGTGGGTTGCCAAATCTTCGAAAATAATACATACATGTGAGTGTACGTTAGGGTGGTCGAAAAACAGTAACCCAGCATTGTTCTATATATTGAATGAAGTACACCCCTATTTTTTTTTTTATCAAAAAATATTAACAGGTCGCTCAAAGCGCTCAAAGTTTTCCACGTATTTTTATATGGGAAAAATAAAATTAATCGCGGAAATGGTTTAGGATTCTTAAAAATCAATACTTTTCGATCGGAAAACTCTGATTCTTTTCAGCCTACTTTAAATAATAATACCCAATTGTTAATTTAACCATTTTTTAATACTAACGATTTTTTACTGGTCGCCCTATTGCATTTATCGGGGTTTCTGGCGGACCTATAATTTATAGTTGCGATAAGAAAATGGTTAAATAAACAATTGGGTATTGTTATCGGGTATCTCCTGCAGATAAGCAGAGTTTTCTGGTAAAAAATATTGATTTTTAACTATTCTATACCATTTCTATGAAAAGTTGTTCTCCCTCATATAAAATACATGGAAAACTTTTGGCGCTTTGAGCGACCTCTACATATTTTTTGATTTCTAAATAAAAAATAGGGGTATACTTTTTTCGGTATAGAACAATCCTAGGGCTGAGAACATAAAAATTCCAATTTGACTTTTTCACATGCATTTTTGGACCACCCCAGTGTACGTACACTTAAATATAAAATTGATAAGCAAATTGTTTGCTCAGGCAGCTATTAACACAAAACGGAGTGCAACAACAGAATTGATACGTCTACACGTGTACATATTTACATATGTGTTCATACAAGTTGTAAAAATATTTTGAATAAAATCCATGTACATATGTATGTACATATGTATAACTGAAAAGACTGGGCCAAAAGAAAATAAATAATACAAAGCGATCACCTCACCGAACAGGTTAATTTCATATTCAAATCAAAGGCAAGTGGTCGTTGGAATTTCACCAGCGTTTTTAAAATAAACAATAAATATGTGTTAGGTATGTATGTATATATGTACTATGTGCATATATTTGGGCATATGTCACATAGAATCATATATACATACATACGTATCTGTCCAGAAATTCGCAAATATTTATTTTGGTTTTTTAAATATAAAATAAAAATAACTTTAGAATGCGACTTACTTTTTCTTCTCCGGACTATTTAGATCAGATGATCTGCGACCGCTCTCCTTGATTTCAAACAGCTTCTCATAATTTTGCGGTACACCTGCACGAAGAAATTAGAATAAGTCATAACAATTTAGAAATCGCCATACAAATAACTAAATAAACAACGTTAGCCTAAACTAGTTACGAACAGAGGGTGTGTATATAAATTTAGTGCGTGTATGTATTTTTGGGGTGGTCCAAAAATGCATGTGGAAAATAATAAAGTCCGAATTTGAATGCTCTCACCCCCTAGGATTGTTCTATATCGAAAAAAATATACCGCTGTTTTTTTCCAAAGAAAGGTCACTCAAAGCGCTCAAAATTGTTCATATATTTTATCTGGGAAACAAAGTTTTCCTTGAAATGGTATAGCATACTTGAAAATCAATACTTTTCGATCGGAAAACTCTGTTTCTCTTCAGAAGACTTCCAATAATAATACCCAATTATTCATTTTACCATTTTTTAATACTAACAATTTTTGATTGGTGCCCCAATTGCATTTTTTTCGGGACTTATAAAAAATAGTTATTATATTATTATTGGAAGTCTCCTGAAGGAAACAGATCGAAAAATATTGGTTTTCAAGAATTCTATACGATTTCAACGAAAAATTGATTTTTACCATATAAAATAAAGGAAAGTATTCGTTTTGAGCGATCTTTAAGTGTGAACCCACACCGAAAACGAAAACGCGTTTGTTCGTGTCGTATAGAGCGTTATAAAACGTTTTATCGTCTTCGGTGGGGGCACACTAAATATTTTTTGTTTCAAAAAAAAAAAAAAAAGATGATGGTATATTTTTTTCGGTATCGCACAATCCTAGGGGGTGAGAGCATTAAAATTCTTTAACTTTACTTTTTTTGGCTCACCCTAATGTATATGCATAATTGACTGATCGATTATTTTATTAGCGATATTGCATCCCTAGTAGATATTCGTTTTCTTAGCGCCAGTTTTTATGTGGAATGAACAAATATTCAAAACAAAATCAAACTTAATTGGTCAATTTATTTTTGTTTTTGTTTGCAAAATCACCATCCATATTATTATTGTTATTTATACGGTTAAACTATAAAACCGGCAAGCAATAAAAATGCATAAAGAGACAAATAAGAGAGTAATAGCGAATTGGACACAAGCACACGAGTAGCAATGTTCACTCTACTTAGTTTTACATTTTTAGTTGTTCACTCTTTTAGCCTGTAAAAGTTTTACCGATGTTACCCTGCAGTAAATCGCGCTAGTTCAGAACATGCGCAGAACTAGCTCTTAAAGAGGCGATCCCAACGCAATGCGCTTTCAACTGTCTCTTTTTACATGGCGATGTCCTACGAAGTGGAAATTGCCACCTCTGCAAAACTTTCGAACTAGTTCTGAACTGGTTCCATTTTCGACAATTCTGGAGCTACAAGTTTTTTATGAGAAAAAATTTTAAAATTCCTCATTTGGAACAATTGGTTCAGCTGTTCTTTGCATTTCAGTCAAATTTGGAAAGACTTAGGATTCTGGGATTTTTGAACTAAATATTTCTTTAAAAAATGCTTTAGGAGGTACTAAATTTTAAGTATCGAATCAAATTTTTAAAAAATTAACAAGGCAATTTGCGAATACACAATAATGAAACTGAATTTCTTTAAACGACTTGTGATTTTCGATTTATGAAATCTATTTTTGTTTAATTAAGTATTATTTGAACGGTTAATGTTATTCTATTTTAAATTAATCGCTTTTATTATTTATTTTTAATAAATCTAAAAAACCTTCCTTTTTCTGAAACTTTTGTTGTTGTTGTTGTTGTTGTTGTTGTTTTTGTATCGGGTACAACAACCCCACCCAGATCCGCTAGTCCCTCAATCGTTGTCGTCAAGCTCAACTAACGGAAGACCCAAGAACCGTGCTTCTATAGGGTCCATCCATAGGGACAGAGATATTAGTTGAGTGGGGTTTAGTAGGCATCCGAAGCGATTTCTTGAGTCGTGGGGTGTCTCTCCGGTTGCCGGCACTCGTTGGGCACATCGGCACCTAGTCTGCTACGAGTTTAACCAGTTGCAGTAGCCAGAGTGAATTGGGGCTATTGTGGTCCGAGTTCCCTGAGGCAGACGAAGCTCTGTCTCGTCCACGTCAGGTGGTTATGTGCCCAGAACGGAATTCACAGGTCGGAAGTCTACTAACTTGAAATAGACTCCCTGTGAATGCCGCTCAAGGCTTGTCGATACCCTCTCGGGTCCAGAGGTTGCTTCATGAAACCCTGGACTTCGCCCGTCAGTTCGTATATATATATACCTTCTGACGTACCTTGGCGAGGTCTTCTCTGCAAGCAAGTGTCTGTGCGGGTGCCCATGTCTGTGGCTCCCTACTAAGAATTGCTTGCAGAGCATTATGTTATGCTACCTTGTGGGGAGCATTTGCGCCTCGTCATGTAGGTGATGTTGTGGCGACATTAGAAGACATCCGTTCGCTGTCCAGTGTGCTGAGTTTTGAGTTGTCTGTAACTTCGTCCACTGCGTCCTACTAGTCCCCGGCGAACACACTCGCGCTGCGTTGTTTAGAACCTTGTTAGCCTTGTATGTTGGCAGCAACGTTTCTTTGTCTTTGCCTCAGGTTCTGCCGGCCAGCGAATTGAGGACCTTGTTGCGGCTCTATACTTTATTGACAAGGGTGGTTGTGTTCACTGAGAAGGAGAGAAGGCAGGCGAAGGTTTTTCGGGTTATTTGCCGTCAGAATCGGTTCCATCTGGTGGTTGAGGGAGCTTAGAAATATAAAAGTTAAGCAGTGTTGGGAAAAGGACACCGCCTATTTGATTTTCATCGATTTGCTCCATTTGTCTCTAAAAATTACTGACGAGTGTCGACCACTCAGATAATTCGCTGACCACCGTTCGGGTCCCTATGGAAGAGAGGAGGCCTCTATGTATATCTTCTAGTAGCGTGGAGTAACTGATGGTATCAAACGCCTTTGACAGATCCAATAGAATTGTTCTCTCACAGGGGCGGTTACGGTTTAGGCCACGTGTTATCTGAGTGCTTATGGCGTTAAGTGCTGTTGTTGTGCTGTGCACTTTACGGAACCCTTGCTGATGCTTCGCTGCGGTTCCTAAAACGTGCTTACAGTTTTTTTTCTCCAAATACAGTTTTCTTCGGGAAATTTACAGTTTTTTGAAATAACTTTCTGGCAACACTATTTGGGGGCCTGTTTTTGCTAGCTACATAACAGCACTCAACATATCTACTCGTACCAAGTAGCTGGAGCTGGTAGCGAGCATGCCTGACCTCCACATCTCAACCGCATGGCAGTAGTGCCAAAGAGTGTGTGAGTGCTGCCGCCAACGCAATGTCAGAATATTTTCGAGAAAACGAGCATTTTCCGTACTTTACAACCCGATAGAATGAGCAGCAACAGCAATAGTAAGAGCAGCGAGAGCAACAACAAAATACACTCATTTCACACCACACTAGCAAAACATGTGCTATGGTTATGACGGGCAATGGGATGTAGGGTGTGTGGTTAACGTATTTGAATGCCTCGAGATTTTGTGTGACATAACAACTTTGATTTCGTTTCACTGGCATTTGTAAAAAGAAAACGATTATCCTTATTGATTTCAGGGACATGCAACCGCTAACGGTTATTGAACTGTTAACCGGAAATGTGATTTTTGTTATTTCGAAAAAAAAATATACATAATACTTTACTAACCTCGGCGTGTTTTGGCGACAATCTTGCTGGGGCCTTTGGACACGGTCAACATTTTACGGATGCTCGCACTGCAAAAAATATGGGGCCGTGGAAAATTTTCACTTGCACTTTTGTGTCGACCGGCTACAGGGAGGCGATAGAAGCGCGTGATTGTTGGCAAAATTTTCCAATTTAAATGCGGCAATGACGCTTTGACAATCGCTTTCAGAAAATTGCGCTCGTAACCGCGTCGCGCAATTTAATTCTTTTAATTGTATGTATGTATGCGCGAATGTAAATTTCTTTGCCCTTGTCTCGTCCCAACGATCGCACTTGTCCTTAACTCTGCCACTGCCGCTGGCCTCAGTGTACGATACAGTAATAGCACTGCCCTTTGTTATTTAATAAAAATGTGTATTTATTAAATTGCACTTATTTGTATAAGTTATTCTCTCTATTTTGGTATTATTTACCTTTTTATTGTGTTTTCTAACTTCGACGTCGAGAGGAAAAAAATTCACTATAATTTCATCACAACTTCAAAACATTTCAGAATCTTTATATCACAAACACTTTCGTATGCCTTTACTATTCGTAAGCCACTTTACATAACATAATTCGGTATTTAGTGCACTTCCACCGAAAACTTCTTAAATATTGTTATGTAGCTGCTTTGTTGAATGAAAAACAACGTGCTCAACCAGGGGGGGCGGCTGATTGGAGTTATTTTATTATATTGTATAATTCACCACTACCACCACTTGGTTTCTACTATATTCCTACTTAGTGAATAAGTTCTTCAATTTATCTCACCGCTTCGCTTGAGTATAAGTAGGTACTATGTTTAATTTAAAGTATATCACCTCAACCTATATAGTTGTTAATTTCTCAGCATGTGAAAATCAACTGACAGAATTGCCGGCCAAACACCCCACATTATACGCCACAGCAATAGTAGTATGTATCTCACAGATATGAGCCATTTATTTTGAAAGTGGCATAAGTTACTTCATACCTATTTTGGTTGAATGGCCGGTTACTTGTAACTGGGTGCACCTATAAATCGTTCTATTTTCATAAACTAATGACAAACCCTTTTCCCGTTTCGTTGATGCAGTTGAACGAATAACCGACGCGTTCATATACTAGTAAAAGGTCATTTAATCGCAAGAGGTGCGAAGTGACTTATGCCACTTTCAAAATAAACCGCTCATATGTAGGAAAATGTTGAATGCATCTCATGCGCTGTGCTCTCCCCACAATAGTAAGCCACACACACATACTCATACAAGCAATCAAAAGTCAAGTTACTCACCTTTTCTCCACCACCACCCGCTGGGGTATATAATCCTCAACTTAACGAAACAGCTGTTCTTGTATTGTGTAATCAAGCATGCCCAACGAAAATCGGCACTGATAACAAATCAGCAGTGATGTTTTTTTCTTCAGTGTGGTTTATGTAAATGATGAGGTGAATAGTAAAGGCTCACACCATTTGTTTTGAGCGGGAAGTGGTGGAACGTTTAAAAACCCATAGGTCTTCTGTCAGAGAGCGTTTACAAATAAATTTATAAACGTTCTCTGTCGGAAGTTCCATTAGGGCGAGGATATTGAATTTAAGTATTTAAACGGTTGCGCACAAATAAAAAAAAAAACATTATTCATGGTATACATGGTGCCAGTAAAAAGATACATATTGACCTTGAATGACTTCGTAGTTACATATGTTTTACTTTAAGATTTCGCGGAGGCACGAAAAATTTGCATATGGGCTGGGATGTCCTTCTAAGAAACTTGAAAACCTTTTACAGGTAGAATTAGTGGCAGTTCTCAAAATGCCAGGATGTTAGGATTTCAAATAAATTTAATGCTGAAAATTCGTTATGTTTCTAAATAGAGGTAGACAGGGCAAAGCGTCAAAAAGGCGTTAGTTAACCTTCCGTGCATATGTATGCATGTATGTATGTGGGTGCGCTTAATATTTCCCAAATTAAATAAGCCCACATAAAACAAGGACAAATAGCTGAAAATTCTCTAAAGAAAAGGTTGCCGTGAGTACATACTACTTGTATGAAAACAAATAAACGGTATATACTATGAAACTCCAAAAAAAAATCGTATATAAAGAGTAGACCATTGTTATATTTGTATTAGTTAACCAATAACTCTTCCCTCTGCTGCAGCTGTAATACCTCAGCGGGAGTAGGATTTGCTGGTGTTTTAGAGGTAAATTATACGTTTTCATTGAAGTTCATGACTCATAAACAAGCAAACATTTTTTTATTTTGCAGACTATATTTATTGCACCAAATACGTTACAATGGAATGTTATGCTTTAGCCTCGGGATTACCTGGCTATTTTAAGCGTATGAATATAAATCAGGTACATACGCCATCACCGACAGTTGCTAACAATAACGGCTGCAGCACCCCACCTCCCCAACAGCAGCGCAACGAACCAAGTAACGTCAATACAATGCCAGCAGTGCACAGTCCATTGAATGTTGTTACACCACGCACAACACAATCGCTTCCGACTGAGCTGCGCAAGAGGAGAAAACGTTGTCAGGAGAGATTACATCCATACGCTACGCCAAGCAATGTTAAAGCGCGTAAAAGTTTAAGATTTTAGAAAATCGGAATCGTAGAACCGCAAGGGCAAAGGCAATATAACATACTTATACTATACATAAGTAGTTATTAGATGTGAGAAAAAAAAATTTATAATTATAGGGTTGACGAATCAAATCACAAACAAATTTAATATACAAATCAAATCGTAAATATAAATAAAATCATGCATGCTAATAATTAAAAATCATGCAGAATTTTTATTTTGGTTATTTAATAATGAATTTTTATACAACATTTTTTTTTAATAAACATTCTATTTTTCGCTCAAAGGAAGTGGTAACGTCGTCCAAAGTCAACAAACATTAAACATAAGAAAAGGACAATTCAAGTATTTTTCAATACACATTTTCTAAAATCACGTGCGAAGCTGTATATTTTCTTGCTTTGCAATTCAGAGTTAAAATGCTCTACTCTTCGAAAGTCAATTTCCAAGAAAAATGACTTAGAAGTTAAACGGGAATTCGAACAAAATCAGTTGATCTTCTTTATTCAGCCCATTTCAAACTTAAAATATTATTCATGGACTTTAACGGTTATAACTTTGGGTGGGCTTTAGTAGTCAGCCGCACCTTGTGTTTTAAGAAAACCAGGTGGAATTAACAAATGAAACTTGGTCAGGATGTTAAGGGAGGTATCTTCTAAAACATGTATAACTAAAAAATATAAATAATATCATTGTTTATAAGTTATTTGTTGTTAAAATTTCTTAAGTCGTTCCACTTGGTTTCCTTAACAAAAAAGCATTTGTGCTTACTTTTATATATATAAATGCACATAACACTGTACTTAATACTTTACACACTTTTCTTTTATTTCATCTTGTATATAAATCACTTTAATAAAACTTTTATCGACTTGTAAATTACATTGAATTTCACGCATATTTACAATAACACATGGTTGCAAACTGACACATAACATGTGTTGCCATATTGTACAAAACAATACATACAAAGAAGGCAATGATTAAAAAGGAATACAGGGGAAATCAATACAAAAGAAAATGTTCTGCTCCTTTTCTTCGCAAAACAGAAAGGAGAATTCTACTGCCTGAGGGTTATAATCCCTAAGTGCGGCCGAAGGCCGCCTACGCAGAAAGGTGTTCTCTGCAAAAGGTGTTCAGCTCCTTTTCTTCGCAAAACAGAAAGGAGAATTCTACTGCCTGAGGGTTATAATCCCTAAGTGCGGCCGAAGGCCGCCTACGCAGAAAGGTGTTCTCTGCAAAATGTGTTCAGCCCCCCCCCCCCTTCTTCGGCAACACAGAAATAATAATTCTACTAAGTAAAAATTCCGAATTAAAAATCCGCTTTTATTATTCAAAATTCCAGTCTGGTAGCACTAAGTTGTATGTTATTTTGCTGTCTTATTCATCGTTTATATGAAAACTTCAACAATAAGTTATATAAGAACTATAGGGTTGCTAGAAAAAAGGGGGGTAGTTTTGAAATCAGGGGGTCCTACTCTACCCCCCCTCATCCCCCCTTTTTCTAGAATTTGCCGTCCGTCTAATAAAATTTGCCCATAACTTTTATTAAAAATTAGTTTTTATGAGTTATTTAATGAGTTTTTATTTTGCTCCAAAGTTTTTGATACGCTGAATCTGAATTTCCGAGAAGTGTTGTTAATTAAGTACACATTTTTATCCAAATTTTACGTATTTTGATTCATAGTGGCTGCCAAATTGTTGACAAAATTGTACTGAAGAAAATCCTTCATCATCATTCTAATAATTAGGCATAATTATCAGGTTATCGAACCGACTAAAAATCACGTGTGGCACACTATTGTGAACATCTTGTTTTACCATCAAAGAAGAAGCTATAAAATTTGTAAACAATTAGGAGTTTTTGCGTTGAAGAACAAAATATCTTGCAAATCGACTCAAATTAACCAACGATGGAAACCGAGCTGCCCTCCACTAGTGCCAGCGCTTTAGCAGCTTGCAGTTCCAATGCCAGTACCAGCGCACAGGTTCAGGATTACACACAACTGACTCCAGAGTTACTGCAGCGAAAACTTTACTTTCTGGTTGACCAGTTGAAGCAGATGCATGCTCAGCTGCCAGAGTAAGTGTAGAAAATAAACTCAAGTACATATGTATGTACATACAGAATCGTATACATATATTAACTTTTCATTGCAGGAAGTATCAAATACGTATCTCCTATGAGCTACTCACCGAGCTGGCTAATTC